AGGGAGATAAAAAAACTCCCACAAAAGCAAAAAACAAAAAGGCACCAAAAAAAGAAACAAAAAGGCACAAAAAAAGGGATGACTTCCATTCCATCTTCTTGGCAATAGTCTTTCTTTCATAAAAAACAAAAAAAAATTACTTCTCAAAGAGAAAAATTGTCCCTCGTATTTATTTTCATTTTTGCAAATTTTCCAGATAGTTATTGAGAGTCCTCTTTAAAATATTACCTGTGTTTCTCTTCAACAAAAAAGTCAATTCGTCCATATCTTTTATTTCTCTAATTTTCCCTATCCACTCTTCTATTGGTGGAGTTGTTTCCTGTTTCCATTCTCTTGCGAAAACAATCCTGGCGGCTGTCGTAGAATTGATACCAAATTTGGACACAATACACCTATCCAGCCAACAAGTGACAATCACTCATAAAAACACTGAAAAACACAGCAGAAGAGACTTAAAAAGGCAAAAAAAAAAACCACATTATAATGCATGCGCAAAAACATATATATATATACACGCAAACACACATATATACACATATACACAAATATATACCCACACTTATACACACAAAACACATATACACAGACTGGGCCACAGCAACGCGTGTCAAGGGACAGCTAATATACAAATAAAAATAAATAAAATAAATAAAAACACTGAAACCACAGCTGAAGAGACTTTAAAAGCCTAATAATAATAATAATAATAATAATAATAATAATAATATAATTACAATACATGCACAAAACCACATATATACACATATATACACTTACACAAAATACATATACAGAGACTGGGCCACAGCAACATGTGGCCGGGGACAGCTACTTATATATAAGTGAAACTTGACAATAATAATAATAATAATAATAATAATAATACCTTTATTTATACCCTGCTACCATCTCCCGCAGGACTCGGTGCGGCTTACAAGAGGCCAAGCCCAAAATACATTAGAACAAAAAACATAGCCACAATAATACAATACAACAATAAATAACTCATAGCAAAGCAAAAACAGTAACAAAATATCACGACGCAATTTAAAAACCTGGCAGGGCCAAATGTAAAGATTAACATTTTTAAAGAAATGCTGGGCACGACCAGGTGAAAAAGGGTGGATATTTTGGGGGGTAAGTGGGTGTGCAGACACTTCTAAGTCTCTCATAAAGTGCATTTGGGACATATTGCTTGGGATTCCTTAATCTGGGAAGGCACCCTGGAACATCCATGTTTTCAAGCTCCTTCTGAGCACTGCCAATGTTGGGGCATGCCTGATATCCTTGGGAAGGGAGTTCCAGAGTCATGGGGCCACCACTGAGAAGGCCCTGTCCCTCGTTCCCACGAATCGCGCTTGCGATGCAGGTGGGATCATGAGCAGGGCCTCTCCAGATGAACAATTCAACAGTTTTGATATTTATCAGGGAAAGAGAACATTTATGGAATGTACAAGTTTCCTATCAACTATAAAACTGAGGGATTAAATGAGCATTAGTGTAAACCACCCTGAAATAATACTAGCTATCTAGCTATCAAGGTTTACCTCAATCCCATATATACTCAAATATAAACCAACCTAAATATAAGCGTGGCACCTGATTTTACCATAAAAAACTAGGAAAACATATTGACTCGAGTAGAAGCGAAGGGAGGGAAATGCAGCAGCTACTGGTAAATTTCAAAATAAAAATAGATACCAATAAAAATACATTAATTGAAGTATCAGTAAGTTAAATGTTTTTAAATATTTACATAAAATTGTAATTTAAGATAAGACTGTCTAACTCTGATTAAACCATTATTCTAACCTTCTTTGATGTAAATGTGCTTTTGTAGCCTTCCAATAATAATGAAAAGAGTAAAATAATAAATGTAATAATAATATTTATTTATTTATTTATTTACTTTATTTGTATACCGCTGTTCTCAGCCCTTAGGCAACTCACAGCGGTTAACAACAATAGCAGCAAAAATTCAATGCTAACAACAACAGGATATTTTAAAAAATTAACACAATAACAGATTAAGCAATTAACACAATAACCATTCACTGGCGTCTCATAACTGAAAACATGATCCAAACTTGTCATCCATTGTTCCATTCCTATATTCATTGCACTGCCTATTCAAGGTAAAGGTAGTCCCCTGACATTAAGTCCAGTCATGTCTGACTCTGAGGTGTGGTGCTCATCTCCATTTCTTAGCCGAAGAGCCAGCGTTGTCCGTAGACACCTCCAAGGTCATTTGGCCGGCATGACTGCATGAAGTGCCAGTTCAAATGCCTGTTCAAATAACCAGGTTTTCACTTTTCTCCGAAATACCATTAATGATGGAGCCGATCTGATGTCCGTGGGAAGGGCGTTCCACAGCCGAAGGGCCACCACCGAGAAGGCCCTGTCTCTCGTCCCCACCAGCCGTGCCTGTGTTGCAGACGGGATCGAGAGCAGGGCCTCCCCGGAAGATCTCAAAGTCTTAGTGGGTTCGTAGGCAGAGATGCGATCGGATAGGTAACTTGGGCCGGAACCGTTTAGGGCTTTATAGGCCAACGCCAGCACTTTGAATTATGCCCGGTAGCAAATTGGCAGCCAGTGGAGCTGGCGCAACAGAGGGGTTGTATGCTCCCTGCGTGCCACTCCTGTTAGTATCATGGCTGCCGAACATTGGACTAATTGAAGCTTCCGAGCCGTCTTCAAAGGCAACCTCTCGTAGAGAGCGTTGCAGTAGTCTAATTGGGATGTAACCAGAGCGTGGACTACTGTGGCCAAGTCAGACTTCACAAGGTACGGGCGCAGCTGGCGCACAAGCTTTAGCTGTGCAAATGCTCCCCTGGTCACCGCTGAAACCTGGGGTAAATAGAGTAAAACAATAAATATAGTAATAACAATAAATAGAGAAAAATAATCAGTGCAATGATAATAGAGTAAAATAATATAAATGCAATAATAATAATAATAATAAATAGAGTAAAATAATACACATAATAATAATAATAATAATAATAATAATAATAATAATAATAATAATAATAGAATAAAATAATAAATAACCTTGATTTGAGTATAAGCCAAGGGGGTCTTTTTTAGCCTAAAAAGGGCTGAAAAACCCAACTTATACTCGAGTATGTACAGTATTTTAAAAATCAGTATTTAGGCTCTGTTGCTGTGATTTAAACCATAGTGTGATATGAAATATTAAGGAGTTGAAGATGTTCCTGGTGTATGGATAATGTGAAAGAAAAGCATAACTTTTGCATCATGAATTTCTGTGATGAGAAGTAATAACTCAAATCTGGAGTTCCTTTTTTCCCTGTTGGCTAAGATCATTTTTTAAAATGAGAGTTACAGTAACAAAATATTCTTAGCGATGACTACATAGATTGTAGATAGTTGAGAACAAGCTGTTTGTTCTTTCTCCCAGCTCAGAGATTGTTTCTCATTTGTGTGCATTGCTCTTCTTTCTTCATTCACAGTTCAGAACATTTGACCCCTGCAAGCAGCTGTGGTGTAGTCACCCAGACAATCCTTACTTCTGTAAAACAAAGAAAGGACCACCCTTGGATGGAACAGAGTGTGCTTCAGGCAAGGTACCTATTGCTTTAGAATATGTTCATTTTTACCTGAAGGCTGGTATATCTTGTACTTAGTCCATGTAGACACACCTTGACATGCCCGTGTGGACACACAGACAGCACACCATGTACCGTATATACTCTAGTATAAGCTGAAATTTTCAGCCCTTTTTTAGGTTGAAAAAGCCCCCCTCAGCTTATAACTGAGACAAAGTTATTTATTATTTTACTCTGTTGTTGTTGTTGTTATTTATTTATTTATTTACAGCTTTTATATTCCGCCCTTCTCACCCCGCAGGGGACTCAGGGCGGATTACAGTGTACACATATATGGCAAACATTCAATGCCAAATTTTGACATACAAACATGTACAGACATACACAGAGGCTATTTAACTTTTTCTAGACGCCATCTGTCCATCTGCGACGCTGATGAAGTACTTCCGCATTCCCCGCATGCTTCCCCGCTGGAATGCTCTGCTGGAGTCTTCTTTATGGCCTCATAAATGAGTTAATTTAGCCTCCCCACACTTTTAAGGTGGCACCTAATTTTCCTTCTTGACAGATGCAACTGTCTTTTGGGTTGCAAAGGTCGACAACAGGCTACACACAATTGGTTGGAAACCCACTCCAACCTGGGCTGGCTTCGAACTCATGACCTTTTGGTCAGAGTGATCTTAATGCAGCTGACACTCAGCCAGCTGCGCCACAATCCCGGTGTAATATTATTATTATTTTATTTTACTCTGTTTGTTATTGTTATTATTACATTCATCATTTTACTCTATTATTATTACAGTTATTATTTTTATCTATTATTGTTATTACATTTCTGTTACTTTATTCTATTATTATTATTGCATTTATTATTTTACTCAATTACTACTATTATTATTACATTTCCATTATTTTACTCTATTATTATTATTGTTATTATTATTACATTTATTACTTTTACTCTCTTAATTATTATTGGACAGATGCATAAGCACATTTTCATTGAAGAAGGTTAGAATAATGGTTTAATCAGAGGTGGACAGACTTATATTAAATTACAGTTTTATGTAAATATTTCAAAACATTTAACCTACTGATGTCTCAATTAATGTAATTTTATTGGTGTCTATTTTTATTTTGAAATTTACCAGTAGCTGCTGCATTTCCCACTTTTGGCTTATACTTGAGTCAATAAGTTTTCCCAGTTATTTTGTGGCAAAATTAGGTTTGTCAGCTTATATTCGGGTTGGCTTATATTTTAGTCTATACGGTTTATAAATCTTTAATGGCTAGAATGCATCTTTTCAGGTAGCCATATACATTAATGCAGTGGTTCTCTACCTGGGGTCCCCAGATGTTTTTGGCCTACAACTCCCAGAAATCCTAACAGCTGGTAATCTGGCTGGGATTTCTGGGAATTGTAGGCCAAAAACATCTGGGGACCCCAGGTTGAGAACCACTGCATTAATGTGAATATACATTTTATTGTCCAAAAATATTTGTAAACATTGCCCATGAACATCCCTCTCCCCATTGTCACTGACGAGCAGAGTTTTAAAACCAATTTTTTCCTGTTGTATGATGATTGAATTTTCTGTTGTTAAGCCACTTTGAGCATTTTCTAGTGGGAAAGGAATAGAGGTAAATGTAGATCAAATGTAGATCAATAAACCCAATGATCCAAATATTTGACTCAATAGTGACTGTTACTATGTATTGTCTAAGGTTTTCATGGCTGGAATCACTGGAGTGTTGTGGGGTTTCCAGGCTGTATGGTCATATTCTAGCAGCATTTTCTCCTGATGCGTTGCCTACCTCTGTCACTGGCATCTTCAGAGGATCCTCTGTTTTTACTGAGGATCCCCTGTTTCTACTGAGGAGCCTGGAAACCACACAACACTCCAGTGATTCCGTCCGTGAAAGCCATTGACAATATCCTGGGCCCGGTCCTGTTCAACATCTTTATTAATGACTTAGATG